CGGGCTTTACCATTGGGGGGTGGGGGGGGGGATGGGGTGGGGGTACCGACACGCGACACGAGACCATATATACATATATATGCCTGATAGAATGCCATCTAGAATTCCTTTAAGAATACCCATGTATGATGCCCCGTGTATACCTTATATATACCCTATTGGTGTTATCCAACAGCCCTTCGCTGTCCTCATTGTCGGAGAATGCAAAGGTTTGATACTGTAGCACCAAGTTTTCTGAAACGACGCCCTTGGGCCCGAAGCGTGTGCCAAGAAACCATGAATGATTGAACGCCCTCCTTTTCCCGATACGCCTTGCCAGGGTTCTTCCCTGACCACCGAGTTTCCCCAGCTGGTCCACCTGAATGTGGCGGGGTCTCCGGAGCATGTGGGATCCGGTTGGTGCCATTACCGGCAGGTCGGTCTCTGTTTGAGTTTGTCCTTGAATGCTTTCTTTCTCAACAACTCAACCCCACAGCTAAACTCCGCCAATCTACCCCAATCATGTAGCGGTTTGGCCGATCTGGGTTTGCCGCTCTGCCATAGCCTACACCTTACAAACCTTGCAGTAACCTCTTTCCCAGACGCTTCAATATCAGAAGTTGCTTCTGTGCTAGTGTACACCACCTCCTACTAGTGCTTGTAACAGGATCCTTTAGGCTCTTCTCCGGCCGGAGGAGGCGTCCGGTATCTGACCTCCCGTCAAGGGGGGGGTATTTTGCCTTCCTTTGAACCCTGCAACCCCAGAGGAAAGGGCCCACCTCCCCTCCCCCCTCCTTCCGTACCGAGAGTATTTGTCACTATTTTGATGGGCTATGTGAGAATGAACCAACGGCTCCTTTGGCCGTGCCGCTCACCGAGGGCGGTCGGAAGCTGATGACAACCCTGGCCACCTTGCAGATGGACTCCGACTCCATGCCCGAACCTCAGAAAGGCAGAGACCCCGAAAGGCTGTGTTTCCCTTGCAGAAACCCTTGGGGGAAGGTTGGAGACGAGTCTGGAAGCTTGCCTAAGGTTGGGTCTGATGTTCAGTGGCAAGCTTCCCGCCGGGAGCCCGGTGCTCGCGTTTTCCGTCTGCCGCCCTTTCTCGTTTTTTGTTGAAAGGTTCTTCGAGACGCCGATGGCTGCTTCTTCATCGACCGCGATGGGAGGCACCGACATGTCCTCTGACTTCTCCAGGACAGGCATGTGCAAGCTGCCGATTGTCAGGCAGTTCCACCACATCCTCAACTACCTGAGAGATGGTACCCTCCCTATAGGCAGGCTGCCATTCGCGGGAAGCGAGAGCATGAATCTCAGCTCAATCCCCCCTTCCCTTCAACTTTCAAGGAGCTCCAGCAACACGGATGTCTCGACAGTTTCCGCCCTGTTCGTGTGGGGACGGGCCATGCGGCCACCAGAAGATGCAGTGGTTGCACATGCAGAAGTGTACGAATTGAACTAACGATTGAAAGTGGCACTTTGCCGAAGGACTGTAACGTCCGCAGTCCGTGCTACTCCAAGAAGTTCAAAAAGACATTCCGGGAACGACCCTTGTTGACCTGCGCATCGGAGCAGAGTGTGTAGAATGTGTTGGATATAAAGATGGTCATGTGTGTTGACTGATGTTTCAGCCTGTGAGTGATCTTTGAGCTTGCGCGATTCAGCTGCATCTGTTTCGCCCTAAAACTGAAAATGCAAAAAGCACCCCTCGACCTTCAGTCCGAAGTGCCCCCTCCATTTAAAAAAGAGCATCGGCCCGGAGGCCTTTCCCGGGTGGATCGCCTGGAGCTCCTCCGCGAGGCCACGCCTTCGGCAGCGTTGAGTGAAGTTCGGTTTTTGAAGTGTTTCAGACGGTTTTCCAGAAATGTTGTTCTCCTTATAAGTTTGTAACGTCATTGTAGGTTTAATGTAGAATGCAGAGGTCGGTCTCTTTTGCATCAACATCCCCGTCCTGTTGCCATTGTGCTGTGATGCACCCGACACCGTCTTCTTATTTTGGTGGCGCCATGCGGCGCCTGTTTGCCGAGGATCCTATGACTTAGGGTAAGAAACACCTTTGAACATGACTCAGCCTTTGTCAGAAGAACAGGACCCAGGCTCTTATGACAAAATTTCGAAATGTATCCCAGGGGTTCGGCTACAGGGGTTCGACTGGGCAGTTGGAGCAGGTGCAATTTCTGCATTCGAGGCTTGTCTTCGCAAGTTGCCTTGGGCATGAGCTGTCGGGAAGTCAAGTCCATGAGTCTCGAACGGCCTGAAACCCAAAGTTCGGTGACGAGGCGGACTTCTATGGGCTGAAGGCGCTCTACAGCTTCATCGGTGGGTGCCCGACTTGGCCAGGAGTTGGATCTGCTACTATAGGAGGAGGGGCTTCTTCCGCCTGCTGCTTGTGCTGCTGACGGTCGTGGTCAGTGAAGCCGACACTGATACTCATGCCTTTGCCGAACCAATGCTGCTGACGGTGGCAGGGGTGCTGGTGCTGGTGCTGGTGCTGATGCTGGTGTTGATGCTGGTGCTGGTGCTGGTGCTGGTGATGGATCATGTTGATAGTGCTGCTGAATGCTGATGATGGCGACGGTGGTGGCACTCGTACGGTTTGGCAACGTCATAGTTGATACATTAATGCAAGCTTTCTGGATGCCCCAAAGATGCAGGACGTGTAGTTTCCGTTTCAGACGCAGGCGCTCCAGGTGCCACACGTACGTTGGAACTCTGCACCGTGTGCATTTCGTTTTGCCCACCTGAAGCCATCCTTGAAGTGTGAGCCCTCCCAATCCGATCCTTTTCAGGCCCACAGTGCAGGCGGCCATGATGCGATCACCTCAGACGGAGTTACCCAACGCTTTCCTTGCGCCTCGGGGTGTCCTGTGATCGGTACTTCTCGTGCCTCTCTGGTGGATCCTCTTCGCTGTTTGCATTTCATCCTGCTTCCCAGACTCCTCGTCTTCCGTTGATTCGTGGACATCAGCGCTGGCTTTCGAATCATTTCTTCATGTTTGGGGCCCTTTGCTTGGCATTTTTCTTCGGGCTTTAGGGGCTATCAGGGTCTGGGCTGCAGGATTTCGGTTGAGGCGTGCAGGTGTCGTTTTTGTTTGATGTCTGTTTTTGTCAAGTTATCCATCGACATGACTAGGGGTTCTCGGCTTTCCTCAAGTGGTTGCCGAGTTCGTCCTTTCCGAGGACGGGAGGTGGCACGGGCCTTTGGCTTCGAGGCCTCTGCCATGACCTGGTCGGAGCCTCAATGCCGAGTGGTCTCTTTGCTCCTGCACTTTATGTCGTTCCTTCCATAGGGCGAGGGCGACCAGCGGAGCAGAAGGGGCGATTCAAAGAGACACTCCGGACTTCCGAAAAGTTCGGGATCTTCTCTTCGGTGTATTCGGCCTGAGAAACGTGCAGGCGAAGGCGGAAGCAGCAGACTTCTCGGTGAACAGCCGGAGCCATCGAGGCCTGGCAGAGGGCCAAGCATGTCCAAAAGCCCGACACCCAAGAACAGCCGGAGCCACTTCTGCTTCTTCTGCGCAGTCTATGCGCGCTTGCGCTATGGCCAAGAGTACAGTGGCGACTGGATCGTGTCCTCCCCGAGGCTCGCGCTTTTGGGTTTGACCCTGCACAAGACCCAGTGCCGAAACTCCTTGTCGTGTCGCAGGAACCTGCCACATGTGCAGTACGAACTCTACGATGCCTGCCTGGCGCGCGACCCCATCACCGCGCTGAACAAGATGGGTGCCTTGGAAGCAGAGCGGCCTCTGGCAAGTTTCGGTTTTTTTCAGACATCTGGCACCTCAGATTCTTGGACAGGTGCCGCAGGCTTCCGACCTTGCGTGGAGCCGCCCACTGTGCCCGCGAGCACCTCGTGCCAAAACGACGACTGGGAGATCATGCTGTACAAGGACTCAGAATGACTCAGAGGGTTAAAGTCCAGGCGCATGGCTCATCATGGCCATACTATCACCACTCCAGATGCCTTCGGCACGCCCCCCTGAACCCCGAAATTCATTGCCCCAAGCCGAAGTACACCCTCAACCTGGACCGCCCGGAGTGCACAGTGCACACCAGGACGTTTGGCAGTGAAGACATGACCGAAGGGCCCCGATGGTGAACGCGGCCGGAGAGCTGCAAAGATACCATCGCAGCAGGCAGGTGATATGGGGATTGATGCCGTTCAACAGTCGTGAGTAGCCGCAACTGGTTTTGGGCTGCAGAGAAACGAATCAAACGTTCACCTGCGTTTGGGAGGGATTTGGTCAGGCGTACATCGACTCCTTCCGCACAGCTTCTTGGACACCTGCCTGCGCCGTCTGAGTGAGCCCTCATCGTCTTCTGCCACGACCGCTACCACTTCCTCCTTCTACTGCTACTCCTACGCCTCCTACCACCGCTACTGCTATTGCTAGCTGTGCTATCAGATTACTGCTTGCGACACGGCAGAACCAAGCACGGCACAAAGTTGCAAGGCGTAGGAACCTTAGCAGACCTTTGTACCCGTGGTCGAGGGAATCCGGACTCCTCAAGTTCTCAGAGCATGCCGGCCTGTCGCTGGAACCTGCCCTCAATCACGGCGACTTCTGGGATCTGTTTGGAGGCGCCAGACTCCAGGTGATAGTTCCGCGGTCGCTCCTTTGCGCACACACTCCGGGCGGGAGCAAAAGGTCGCTTGAGGAACGTCGTCTTGAGCAGCTTCCTGGTCCCGTCCCTGTCACAGCCAACCAAAACAGCAGCAGCGGCAGCCGCGGAGGAGCAGCAGCAGCAGCATCACAAATTTGACAGCAGCAGAACCACCAAAGGCAGCACTGACAACCACGACGACGACGATGACCACTGCGACGATGACCATGACCATGACGACAACCACGGCAGCGACAACGACAACGACGACGGCGGGAATGCATTGCAACCGTTTGCAGTCCACAGACCGAAAGCGTGTTTTTGGATCACGGAGCCCATGCCAATGATGGCGATGGAACCACAGCATAACATGGTTTGACGAGGTTGGTAGTGACAATGAATATGCGATGGTGACCGTTACGGAGAGTGATGCTCGTCATGATGGCATTGGCGATGTTGATTATCTCATCAAGCCAAGCATGGCGCAGGTGAAGAGGACAGAAAGACTCCAGAAAATGCTGGTGATGATGATGGTGATGATGAAGACAGCGATTATGATGATGCTGATGGTACGATAGCGATGCTGAAGACGATAGCACAGACGACGTTGCAGGGCTGGAGACGGAATGCTTCTTGTACGGGCCGTAACACTCACGACGAGCTTTATCCTGAACATCATGGTAGCTCATGGCCACAACGCCAGTTATGGTGATGGTGATCACGATGATGATGTTTGTCATAATGTCGGGCCAGAACAAGCGGCGTTGTTGTTATTGTCGCTGTTGTTGATGATTGTGATGATGCTGGTGATGGTGATGTTGGCTCCAGTGACGGTGATGATGCGGTTCATGATCATGATGTTGATAATGTTGATGATGGTGATGATGATGTCGCTGATGATTGTGCAGAAGCCTCGTGGTCATCATCGTTGTCATCCATGGTGGGAGGGTGTTGTGTTTGTTGTTGGTGATGCTCGGGGTGCTGGCAGCAGTGCAGCGGCCCTGTGTCGCTTCGAAGATAGATTCTGCTACCTTGTCCGCCGCAGTCATCAGAGAGTGGGGGCACAGCGCCGGGAGACGTAGCAAGAGGAGCCTGTACAAATTCCGGAGCTCGTTCGCCTGCTGTGCTTTTGAATCCTGCCACTGCATGGCGCTGCCTAGCAAAGCTGGCCAGATGCCAGAAGACATGCCAGTGGAAGGCCTGGAATGATGTCCAGCATAGATTTTAATATGCCTGTATGAATGTATATATATATATACATATATTTTTATGTATATATGTACATATATATATATGTACATATATGTATGCATATATATATATAATATGATTTGACAAGACACAGAGCTGCTGAATGCTTCTGCACAGGACTGCACGCAGAAGATTCGCCCCGGCCAGGCCCTCAGTGAAACGCAGCAGAGTTGTCACATTGTACAATGGTAACATAACGTCATAAAGTAGACTGAAATATAATCTAGTCTGATATCACACAATATAGGGTAGCACAACGGATATACTATTCTATAAGACAAGACTAGATAAGATAACACAATATCAACATAATATATTATGCCAATGTGCAAGAAAACAGTAAAGTATAGTATTTTATTGTATAGGAGGTATTGCAATGTGCGGTAGAGTACAGTCTAAGAATGTATATAGCATAAGCCAGTTGATCATTTATGATAATTTAATGCAGTGTACGACATTATGTAAGCCAAATCATGACCTGGTCTAGTATAATGCGAAATGTATGCACATGCACAGTACAATGAAGCATATGATGATGTAATTGAACCAGGCCAAAAAGATATTATGGGAGGCTACATGATAAGATCTAGTCTAGTACGGTATATAACAGTATACAAGATCAGTCAGAGTATATACACTGCAATACAGTCCGCAGTATAACGTTACATTTCACAATGTAGTGTAACATATAGTCTAGTATATAACATGTTGAAACGCGCAAGGTATGATGTTATATACCGGTATATACCGAATAGTATACATACGTATATACATACATATACACACACACACACCTATGCACATATATAGTTACCATACAACATGTAACGGGTACTAGATTTAGATAGAGTTGGCATATAACACATTTACATACGCAGCATGCACAACATACCATGAAATATAGTTTTGAGTCGTATAAGATACGGTTTTACCCAAAGCTTTGAATACACATTATATAACATACATAATGCAAGACTTGCTAAATGAGACAGCTAAATGCGACAAGTGTGTATATATATATGTGTGTGTGTGTGCTTGTTTGTATGTATGTGTGTATGTATGTATGTATGTATGTATGTATGTATGTATGTATGTATGTGTATATATATATATGCACACGTACACACACAGTGGACCTATTTCCAACACGAGATCTCCGCAAATGCGTGCGTGTGTGGTATGTGTGTGGGTCGTGTCGTGTGTGTCGTGTGTTTGGTCCTTCCGGTGATGTGGACCCCCTAAACCCTAAACCCCTAAACCCTAAAGCCAAAACCCCTAAACCCCTAAACCCTAAACCCTAAACCCCTAAACGCTAAACCCTAAACCCTAAACCCCTAAACCCTAAACCCTAAACCCTCCGGAAGCCCGCCAAGGCCCACTCTCCTGACGTCCCGCCTTGCGGATCTCTGTCAGAAGGCCTGCGACATCACGGGGTTGCAGGGTAGGGGTCGGAAGGATCACAAAGAGTACCCCCGTATAGTCTATACATACATTCCCTGTAGTATTGCCTATACCCCCACCAAATCCCATCTTGATTATTGAGGTCCCTCTTTTCGAGCAGAAAAAGAGCCAGACTTTGGTTGTGGGCCGTGCCGAGGACGAAGGAATGCCGGCGGTGCAGGCACCAAAGCCACAGGTGGCCCGACGTTTGTGAATTAGGGGTGTAGGGTTCGGGGATGGGAACTTTGGGCTATGAAGTCGTGAAATTCGGAGCAAGGCACACTCGATCTGGGTGCTGTGACTGGGGAGACAGATGTCAGCACTTGCAGAATGCTAGAACTAGCCGCCTGTCAGCTCGAAGTTGTACTGTATATCCCAAAGGAATAAAGTAGGCTACTGTTTCTTGTATAGGTACTGTATATCCAAAAGGACCAAAGTAGGCTACTGTTTCCCAGTGTCTATTCATATCGATTGAGCGGGACGGATATGTGCTGCATGCGAAAGTATTGACAAACGTGCCTGCATGAAAAGATGCATGTGTGTGTGTGTGTGTGTGCGCGCATGCAGGTCGTATACATACGTACCTACACTCTCGATATTATATAGATTAGATTAGATAGACAGATAGGTAGACACGTCACATGCAGACACACATGCAGTTGACGTGCATGCATACGTTCATGGCAAATCATACATGCGTACATTCGCAGACACACTAGCCGGCATATATGCATCTCTGCATGCAGGCATGCGCAAACAAGCAGACATGCATGCAGACATATACATAGCATCAAGCCCATCCGCATGCATTAACAATCCACAACTCTCCCATGTGTCTCTCTCTCTCTCTCTCTATATATATATATACACACACCACACAGATGTAAGTACATCAGTACTTACGCACACATGTATATCGGCATGTGGACGCATTCATGTCGGAAATATGTATTTTGTGTGTATATATATACACATATGTATACATATGTGCATGTATGAATATATATATATATATATATATAGAGGTATCTCTCCCAATGTGTATGTATATGGAGACATACACATGCACACCACATGCCTGCATCAGACTCCGGTGCGGGTCAGGTCTTCGGTGCAGCCCTGCAGCATAATGGCACAGAGGATCCGGGGACTCGACATGCTCCTCCCCCGCCCCTGCTTCAGACTAGTTTGGGGACTTGTCTCCAATGCTTTTTCAAAATCCACTTTGGCTTGTAGTTTGTAATTGTAGGTTTTAGGTGTGGGAGGGTTTTGGGTTTTAGGTTTTAGGGTGTGTCTTTCAGAAAGCGTTGGGATTCCAGAATCCTACGAACTTTTGACTTGAGGTGGCGCAGGCCCAAGCACTGCATTAGGCCGCCAGAAAAGGCTTCAGGACTTAGGGTTTAGGGCAAAGCCAAGGTTTTCCCAAAAGCTGTAGAGGTCTGCGGGGTTAGGAGGGTCGTGACAGGGCCAGTCAGGTCCGGACGCAGCTGCGCAGGAAAGGTTTCAAGCATCGTTCGGTCCTTTCTGTAATGCTCTCTTCAAACAACCCAATCGCTGCATTAGTGTTACTATAGAGGTAATGTGAGCCCTCCTG